GTGCTGATGAGGAAGGCAGGGTCCTGGCCACAGAGCGGTACTACTGCGGGAGTAAGAGTGGTACTACCACTTGGAGCGGTACTACCGCCACTACTACCACTCCTAGTACCGTAAAACCCGACACGAAAAACATCGGTCTCGAATCGAGGCGGTAGTAGCCCGGAACCACTGCGGTACTACGGCCGAAGACCACAAGCGGTACTGCTGCTCTGGGAGCGGTACTGCCGCTTGATGAGCTTCGGCGGTACTACCGCTGAGGACCACGGTACTACCGCTGGGACAGGACGGAGCAGGTACGGAGGGAAAGGCAGCTCCAATGATGCGGAAGGAAGACGCCGGGAGTGATAAGGATGTGTACGTGTTGATTCCACCCTAGCCTTACCAAAGCGGATCCCCTCTTGATAATACGGTGACTCCTACAAAACTAGTCCACCAACAACGAAACGAAAGAGCTACACCGTCTTGAATAAAACACCGAGGGGAGGTAATCGTCTCGTGCCAATGGATGAATCTCTGAAAGAACTTAACGCACACGATTAGTCCATAAAAGCATTGTCATCAATCACCAAAACAACTTGGGAATAAATATGCCCTTACAACTTCATTTTATATGGTAAGGTATCACGCTATGATACCAGTTTTCTCTTTCTCCACATCAAATATTGTGATAATTCAGCAATATGCCTAGTTGTTGGCATTGCATGGGTTGCATGATACTCTCACCGAGTACTTGGCTATAATATTCTCACTACAAAAGGTCTAAGTGTCCGTGCGTTATATGAAGCAGCATAAAAGACTACTAATCACATCTTGTCTTATTTCTTTACCGGCGATCAATATAAGTGGCTTGGTTTTCATGTTATGAAAAATATTGATATGTTCTGCTAGTTTCGTGATTTCATCCCTCCTCAATGACCAGTGCGCACATATTGGCATCATTCAGTTCCCACCTTCTCATGTGTCTTCTTGGCCGTCATGTATGTAACACATCTAGAGTTGCGTTATTCGCCTCTCTATTGATTTCTGGCTCCTAATGCACATGCTCCCGTACTAATGGTAAAGTAAAACGGATATTATTATTTTACATAATTCCGGGAAAAAATCAACAAACATTGACAGATGTCTCACCTGTGCAATGTTTCATGGGGAAAATATTTTTAACGTGCTGAGTAAAAAAGCGATGCTAAAGAAGCTATTTTTAGGAGCATTCTTGAGTACTAATTTTGTTTTCTTGTTTTTTGACAATCCACCGCGAATGACATATCAAAAGTTTGCACGATGTACAACACTAAGCAATGTTCGTTGACACACAAGAAAATAATTATTCTATTTGTTTGATTTTTCTTTTTTGTTCATATAATATAAGGAGCATGTGTGCTCAGTGCCGACACTTTCGCTATTTGCACATCTACATTACCTCTAAAACTACATCATTGATGTTCATGGCTATGTTGTAAGGCGAGTGTCTTTGTTTATCTTTTCACTAGGTGAGTCAACTGATGCAGAATGTATTCCTTAGACATGGTGTTGATAATCCCAGCTCCTTCCTCCTATCATATATCAACAACTTGAGAAAGATAGACGGCATCATAGCCCAATTTTAATATCACGTCCACACTATCCTATTTGTCTCGGCCTTGGGTTGATTACCCAAAAACCAAACATCGGTTAAGTTAAATTTCTACCTTTGATATTCCTTAGACATCGGCCTTGACGAAGAAAATGTTGTCATATCTCCCTTTGCCATTTAGGCTGGTCACAATGGGGAGGAACTTAGGAGTAACATCACACACTCCAATACAACTTTGCTTATGTGTCACATATTTAATGAAGAGAGAGGTGCTTGTGGTAACTAGCTAAGTTACCGGAACATCACACACTCCAAGAAACAATGAGTCTATAACCTAATAAATACATTGTTGCATGACACTACATAGATGTTCCTACCCACTGTGGAGGTAGTAACATAGTCTAGGGAAGTGTGTAAGTTACTAGACTATGTTCTTGCCCATTATGACCAGCCTTATGTGCAAGAAGTAGCTATAATCAACTCAATATTTATTGTCTCAAACGTGGGCAATGCGGTGTCCTCTATCATAGCAATCTGTGTGTAGGGTTCTTTATATTATAACAAATCAAGGTGAATGGTCACATACAAGATGACATGTAGGGAGAGAAGGGGGAGGTGAGATGAACAATCGCGAGCACCAACACACCATTTATAGTATAAATTTAAGAGCTCACATTTCATGCATCGCCTTATTAAAAAATAACGACACGAGATCATGATATATGGTCATATTGAAAGAGTGTTAAGGACACTTGACCAAAAAGGAAGCAATTGGTTAGTATAGGTCTACCGAACCCCCGCCAAAGACATAACTTGGTTGATACAACGGATCACCCATCCAACAAGTATTTCTAGTAATGTATGTCATCTTTCATGCTCACAAATGTATATACATTTGTTTCGTGTCACCTTTTAGCATCACATTGTATATACACATGTTTCTATACTACGTCCCTATATTTGTTTGACACTTATGTCCCTACATCATTAACAATATTTTGTCGTGGCCGTCACGTCGCAGTTGGTGAAACCATTATTTGCATGTGAATATTTATGTCATGATGACGATAGACGAATGCCAGTAAATCATTCTATATATTTTGACGCTTTGGAACGCCACGAGCCTTTAGGCGCTAGCGCACAACCATGTGGCAGAAACATCTGATAACTTACGTGTGATATAGTGTTGTAGCCTTTTTCCATGATTATGCGGAACTATGTTAGATCAATGTTATATGAATGTGCTTGAAGCCATTGTATTCATTTCATATGCTGCCACATACACTCGAAAAGAGGTTGGTTACTTTACTCAATACCATATTGTTGCCCCGTGCTCCACATTTATTATCCTTCTTTACGTCCAACTCATCGGTGAGGAGCCAAGATATTGCGCACCTCAAGTTCTTTCGACATAACTTTGCCCGAGAAGATACATAGTCACGAGACAAAAAATAAATCATTACACCGTGTAACTTCTTTATTTATGACAATAACAAACACTTGATCCAGCAAATGTTGCAAACGGCAACTGAAAAATAGAAGCGGGAGGATATTGTTTTTCTTATACATGAGTTCTATGGAGCATGATAGTTTTTCCTTGAGCAAAAAGAAAGTGTTTTGTTCATTATTGCTATACCAACCTACAGGTTGGACCGACATGCAAGAACCATTAGGTGTGTGCTTCCATATATCTAATTCCAGATTTCCTAAGGTACTGCTTTCTGAACATTACTTGAAGCTAAAGCTGGCTGGCTACATGGACAGCACCAGATGAATGACTGGACCAACATATTGGTTATCACTTCCCACTTGAGTATTATATAAAGTACTGGCGCTTAGATCCCCTAGCTAACTTCATGTGAGCTAGGCCTGGGTCTGAGCTGGAAAGAAACATGCGTATATGCTGCTTGGGCTACGGTAGGTAGACAACGAGTCTTCGTCCATATTTTATTGGTAATAGGTGAAAATAGTGTCACTGGATCTGTCATCATAACTTCGTAGTATTACTGTTTTACATTTTTCTACCAACATTTTACCATCAGAGTAGAGTTTGTGACCATGCACATTTGACATTTCCAAACACCAACTATTTACACAAGGAGATTTAGTTCTAATTAATTAGTCAGGCGCACATCGCCGGCATGTTAGGTGGCTTTTATTTCCCTGCACTTGATCAAATTAATACCTCTCTGTTCCCGAGCATTTACAATGATCATGATAGCTACTATATGACTGGTTGTAACAGAGAGTATCATATATTAGTATCATGCATATGTTACTACTGTATGATACTACCTTCCTAATGCATAATATCATATATTAATATCATGTAGTATTTTATTTATTGCCATGCATTACACATAGTAGTTTACAAGTATTTATTACGATACAATATATGATACTCAATACTAGTATATGATACTCCCCACTATGAGTAGCCTAATTGCACTTCTGAAAAGAAAAATATACTATTAGAGCATGGTTAATAATATGGTCGACGGCTAGCTATAACAAATTGTCATGTCATCTATAGCCGGGCTACGATCATTCTGTTTCCCCCTCTCCTTTTTCTTTGTGTTCCACTATACATGAAATTTGATCCCCTCAAACAGAGAAAAAAACTGCTTGAAATTTGACAAAACATGGAGGCGACACAAATTCAGGGAACAACGCACAACACATGTAAAAGAACCGGGAACTCTAAATATAATCAGTTTTGCTAAGTCTCAGTCGACTGAGACTTTGTTATGTCTCAGTCGATGCTATATCCCCTAGATCTTGCATGGGGATTCGTACAAAATATTCTTTTCAGTTTTTTTTCTTTTTTATTATACTACTATATCACTTGACTGAAACTTGGTTAAGTCACTCGATTGAGACCTAGCCACACCCAAATATAATAAGTAAAAATAAAACGTAATATCATCATTTTGTTGTCGCCACTGATGAAAACAGAACTGAGCATGCCGCCAGCAATTAAATCACAAGAGAAACGACAGACAATATCTGAGTTCTGCTTACAATAAACAGTTTTGTAACAAATGCCACACTACATTCGCTTTGCAAACACGAATTCTTCACGGAAGTTACACATTCAGACATTCTACTCCGGTATATAGAAGCAGAGAGAAGCAGCAAAAAATGGACACCCCTTGCATCAGCGGTTACAGTCTTTCTTTGTATACGACACAGTTTGTTGTTTGACGCCTCTTATATGGATTCAACACAAGTGCAGCTGTTTACTAGTATAACGAAGCCTGCTCAACTGGTTAGGTCAAAACTAATTTACAGTTCAATTGAACGATTTTACATGCCATCAGTAAACAGCTCACCACATTCTTCTCCTCTACTAGCCTTTACCCGGACTACCACCAAAGAAAGAAAAGATTGAACAAGAAGACACTTCCTATGGAGGAGCTCTGCGTCTCTCTCACTGGGGAGGCGGGAGGGCGAGAGCCGGCGGCGAAGAAGGGGGCGATTTCGAGAAGATCCTCGTGTAGAGCACGGTGTTCCAGACGTCGGGCACGCCGGGAAGGCACCAGTGGATGCAGTCGGCAAACTTCTCAGGGTCGTTCTTCTGCTTCGGGGTCAGCAGGTAGCCCCGCCGGACGGAGTAGACGGACGTGTGGGCGTCCTTCCGGTAGTCCGACATCCTGGTGATGTCGATGAGCGTGACCGGCACTTTCTTCATGGACCTGGCCGTGCTCGCCACCATGTCGTACAAGCGCATGTCGTGGTTGAGGTCCAGGGGCTCCGTGTAGTTGAGCACCGGGAGCGTCTCCTTCGCGCATTTGATCCCGTGGGGGTTTCCCCATTTATCTGGGCTGAGCATCATAACAGAAATTTTGTTAGGGATGCATAAGGAAAATGTGTGTGCCATCATCATGCTGATCTATCTATGATTCAAAACCTGATATGGAAGATAAAAATATTTTTAAAAAAACATGACACTGTTGGGTCTGGTGGTGGGCCGCGCTTAATCTCTCCCGGGCCAGCACCCGACTCAATTCCAAGCCGAGTCGGTAACTGAAACCGTCTTCTTCCCAGGGTCGGACCGGATCTAATCGATTTACATACCCACCTCTCCCTCCCGGCCCCCACGAAAACCCCCACCAGCCTCTAAACCCCAGCCATGGCTGCCGCTGCCGCCGCCGCCGCCAACTGCGATGACGAGGACAACTACGAGGAGTACATCCCCGTCGCCAAGCGCAGGGCCATGGAGGCTGATCGCTTCCGCCACCAGCGCCTTCCCAAGCCCGCCGTCCCCTCCCTCCCACCGCCTCCGCCCCCACC